CCAATGTGGATTAAAAAGGTGATAAGCCCACATTAATCACTTTTCTGTTTAATCTCTTCTCTCTAATAGTAAATAAGTAAATACGAAACCTTTGTTTTACGCTAAACTTTAAACACAGCATTTTTAAACTTCTATTTCTATCAAAATTTAATATATTATTTTCTGATTAAAAACTCTATGCTAGTAAATATAAAGTCTTTATCTTACGATTCCTTGATGTAATTTGTGTGCTGATATTGGCCTCGAGTCCATTACTGTAAAATTCCCACCGTATTGTTCCTTTGCCCGGCCGACCTAAATTAGCTTTGCATGTGACATTTATAGAAGATCCTTCAATGACAGTTCTCGGTACACTAGTTAGAACGGGTAGTTTAGGAGGGACTGTTTGAATATAATATAAACAGGATAAAACATATCGAAATAGTTTTAAAATATATAATATGCCAACATACAATAACTCAGAGAAAAACATACACGAATATACACAATATTTTATAATATTAAGTTCTTTGTAAAATATACTCTTCAGATCAATGATAAAAAAAATCCTTTAAAATTATGTTAACAAATTGAAATAATTTGTTACCTTTGATGTAAAGAGCTTGCGTTTGGTTACTCCCCGTTGAAAATAAATTATGAACAATACAGTGATAATTTCCTTCATCCGAACAATTTACATTGCTAATGATCATTGTCATACTCAAATCTACAGACAGCCGGCGGTGATGATCAGATAGTGCTGTTACGCCTTGGAACAATTGTGAATATTTGTACAAGTTTTTTAGAGTAGATTTAGAGCCAACGGGACTGAAAGCAATAACGATGGGAGGGGGCGGACACTGGAAAAAGTATATAATTATATTTCGTTGAATGGGACGGTAGACATGTTTTTTTTTTTGGGGGGGGGGGGGGGGGGGGTGGGGGGTGGGGGGGGGGGTGTGTGTGTGGGGTGGTGTGTGTAGGGGTGGGGGTGGGGGGTGGTGTGGGGGGGTGGTGTGGGTGGGGGTGGGGGGGTGGGGGTGGGGGTGGTGTGTGTGGGGGGTGGTTTTTGTTTAGAGAAAAGAGACAGCACTATCAACCTAGCGCCCGGTGTATCCTTCCTCAACGGGCCATTTTTCTCGTTGTGAATATTTGTACAAGTTTTTTAGAGTAGATTTAGAGCCAACGGGACTGAAAGCAATAACGATGTCTGAAAAAGTACTGGCCCAGCTACACTGGAAGCTGATGTTACGGCCCTTTGTTACACTGGAGCTTGGGATAAATCTAGCTGTGATCTCTAGCATGTAGACTTGTGAGGAAGCTGTAGGCATTAATGGGAGTTTAGTAAATACATTACTTTTTAATATAAAACTGTAAATATTAGTGGGAGTTTAGTAAATACATTACTTTTTAATATAAAACTGTAAATATTAATGGGAGTTTAGTAAATACATTACTTTTTAATATAAAACTGTAAATATTAATGGGAGTTTAGTAAATACATTACTTTTTAATATAAAACTGTAAATATTAATGGGAGTTTAGTAAATACATTACTTTTTAATATAAAACTGTAAATATTAATGGGAGTTTAGTAAATACATTACTTTTTAATATAAAACTGTAAATATTAATGGGAGTTTAGTAAATACACTACTTTTTAATATAAAACTGTAAACATTGATGGAAGTTGAGTAATTAAATTACTTCTGATATAAAGCTGTAAATATTAATGGGAAGTTTAATACCAAAATAAACTTTAATCCAAAACTGTAAACAATAATGCGATTTTGAGAAACAAAATCACAATTAATGTAAAGCTGTAAATATCGATGGGTGTGTAATAACTAAATTACTTTTAATGTAAATTTATGTAAACATTGATGGAAGTTTGATCCCAAAATAACCTTTAAAGTAAACATCTCTGTCAACTCCTCTCCACTCCCTTTCCACCCTTCTCTCAACCCCTATCTACAACCCTCTCTGTCCTTTTGATCCACCCCCTCTGCCTATATGGAGTGCACACGGCAGGTGTATACTACATGTCGTGACGCTGTAATAATAGTGTGTATGCATGGGTGACATTCATGCATAACACAATGCAGCTGCCATTTCCGTTTAAACAGTTTTGAATTTCAACAGCACTGTATAAAATATATTCTTATACATGTTCTAGATCTACTATCTTTATTATATGTATTTGTATGTACATGTATACAAAATATAAAGCTAATATAAAATGCTTCAATTAAAACACATTCGATTATTACAATTTACTTAGAGCTTATTTAAAAGGTTTTACATAATTTATAGGCCTAATATCAGAAATAAACAAGAAAATTGTAATGTAACTTACCGAAGAAAACCAGGACTGCAATGATTTTCATTTTTTATATTTCCACAAATCAAACCATATTTTTAAAAACCTCTCCTATGAATGCAACTATTTACCTCGACCGAATATCCCGATGGCCTGCGTATGCGACTATTTAGCTAGAGCAAGTCTACCAATTGCATGTGTATGCGACCATTTAGCTAGAGCAAGTCTACCAATTGCATGTGTATGCGACCATTTAGCTAGAGCAAGTCTACCAATTGCATGCGTATGCGACCATTTAGCTAGAGCAAGTCTACCAATTGCATGTGTATGCGACCATTTAGCTAGAGCAAGTCTACCAATTGCATGTGTATTCAAACATTAAGCTCGACCGATATCCAGATAGCATGTGTAACCTGCATTTCCGACGGCGGTGTTCATCCATGCAGATCGAATATGTAGGTTACTATTCAGACATGGATTTCTAAAGTCTGGCTAGGAATGGGGAGGGGTGTGTGTGTGTGCGTGTGTACGTATATGTGTATATAATATTTTAAATTAAAAACCCCTTAACCTTTATTGGAATTGTTGGGGAACCACCGAGTGGTGCTTGCAGAGTTCTTCCAGGCATCTCTTCGGGGGGGGGGGGGGGGGCTCTACCCCCCCTCCCCCCGAAGAAAGTCTACCCCCACCCGAACGAAATGAAAATTATATAGAAAATATATACTTTTAACAGTGTCCACCCCCCCCCCCCCGAAGGAAGTCTACCCCCCCCCCTCCCCGAAAATATCAAGTGCCCCCCCCCCCCGGAGAAAAAAAGTCTGGAAGAAACACTGCATGCTGACCACAGCCGGCTGCCTCCACCTAGCTGGCTCACCTTGGTCATGAACATGTGGCCGCTGAAGTTATTCTATTAACTCGAGCGCCCTGGCCGGTGACTTTTACTAGAGGGCCATACGCCCAGTGATGCCGTGTAAACAGTGGCGTCGCTAGGTCGGTTGTCACCCGGTGCAACACTTCGTGGTGTCATCCCCCCCCCCCAAAAAGAAACAATATATATATATATATATATATATATATATATATATATATATATATATATATATATATATATATATATATATATATATATATATATATATATATATATATATATATGTTTGTATCTGCCTACATAGGCCTATAATTAAAATATATAATGCATACGCATACATGTATGTTCATAAGCTTTAATCACTGCAGACTTAACAATAACGATATTTATTCACAGTCGTTTAATAATACAGTTGTATGTAACATTGTGTTGTCTATAGTTAGCACCTTTACGTCGTGGTGTCCACCCCAACGCCCTTGTTGGGATTGCTGATTTCTATTTAAAAGACTATTTACCTTTCATTAATCATTTATGGAACTGGCAAATTTCTGTAAATTTTGCAATTTTTCGCCATGTTTTCACCCCCCAAAATGGTGTCACCCGGAGCTGTCCGCACCCCCCCCCCCCCCCGCCCCGCCATAGCTACGCCTCTGCGTGTAAGCATAACTTTCTGGAGTTTTCTCTCCTAGATGAGTTGCTGTCCCCAGTTATCAAACCTAATCTGCCTGGTGGTTCGAACTTAGGAATTTTCAGTTTAGCAACGAGTGATTATATAGGGGGGGGGGGGGGGCACATGATATTTTCGGGGGAGGGGGGGGGGGCGGTCAACATTTTCCGGGTTGGGGGACGGACACCAGTAAAAGTATATGTTTACTATATAAATCTCCCCTCCCCCCTCCCCCGAAGAGATGCCTGGAAGAAGCTCTGCAAGTATATCTTCAGATATATAGGAGTCGTCCAAAATGAAATCACACCAATTGGATAAAGGGCTGTATATGCCTATAGTACTGTTAAACATAACAGCTGAAATTCTTAAATAATTTTGTTTTAATGTTAATTGATATTTAGCTTATCTTTTATGTTCATTTTTATTTTTATTTTCAATGAAGATTTAGGACCTTCTTATATTTTTTATTAGTATAACAGATTAAAGATTTTTTTTCTATTTATTTTAGCAACTAACAATAAAAATCTAGCCCAGAGATTTTTTCCAGGCGTCTCTCCCCGAACAAAATAGAAAAAAATATAGCCTATACTTAATATAGAAAGCTCCCCCGCCCGCCCACATATACCCTTTAATTTTCAAGTGCACCCCGCCACCACCCGGAAAACTTTAATCCCCCCTCACCCTTACTTTTATTTATACATTGTAGAAGTAGATATATTTTATTGAAGCTCAGATTGTGAAATCCGAGTGTTTTGTCTTAAAAGAGCTAGAATCAAGATTTAAATACATTTTTGTCCTATTTTTAGAAATTTTAAATTTGTTTTTTTGTTTGCTACTTTTTTTACAAACATTTTTCGTGGTGAAAATTAACAAGCAAATTTTACTAAAATCGTTAATGGTACTTTTATTCATAAACTCTATCAATATTTTAAAACCTCTTCATTATTAAAATTAATATATAAAATATTGATCTGCTATATATACAATACTAGATCACAAATTTTATATTTATCTTTCTTCTTCCTGGTAAGCTTACATTCTAGTTTTTAATAATCCCTGACGTCACTTGAATTTATGAATTCAACATGGCTACCAGTGATACCGATGATTCTCTCTACCCGATTGCCGTATTAATAGATGAGCTAAGAAACGAGGATGTACAGGTTAGAAAATTTAAGTTTTTAAAGAATCAGATAAACTATTGAATTGATTAATGTCAATCCTGCCATGAGATATAGTCAAAATTCTTCCCATTTCTCATCGGGCTCACAATCTTGTCATGACACCTGACAAGCGAACTTTTTACTTTTTTGAAGTGAGAAATTTAAAGTGTTGTCAAAAAAAAAAAAACAGTGACAAGCGTCGCATGATAGATTAGTTAAGTGATGAAGTGTTATAACTCCAATCATGCTTTTTACTTTACAGACTTAATGTTTTAAAATTGATCTAAATCTAGTAGGTTGAATTATGGATTTTTTAAAATAAAATATTCTGTTATTTCAAATACACCATTAAGTTCCTTACCCCTTAAGAGAACATTTGACACCACATTTAAATATCTAGCTTATTCGGTTGACGAGAAAAAAGAGAATTTGAAAATTTAGCTAGAATGGAAAATGAATGACAAAATAAGAATCTTGCTCCTGGACCGGCATAACATGACGCCGTGAACTTGTGTGCACGAGCTTTTAATTCCCGCCATGGTAATTGCGTCAGCTTAGGTCATTTACTCACCGGAAAATAACAAAAAGCAACTGGTTGATAATAAAACTTAGATCTAGTTATTTTATTATTTACTAAATTCTACTCTACATTTTATTCATACCATTTTAAGAAATAATGAACACCTACATAAATCAAACGACCATAATAAATATTTTTATTTCAAATTCTAATTTTAAATAATAAATATGCATAAAATAATATGATAGTAATAGTTAAGATAGTTTATAAATGCAAATACATTTTACACTCAATCACATTATATTATGATTATATTGAGTCAACAGTGTGGCAGCTGAGGTTCATACATGGTATTAGTGTCTTTTTTTTTTTACATTACATTTTTTTTTCATCTTGAAAACATGACGTATGTGATTTTTTTAAAAATAAAATCTCCAAACATCGTCACTCGCGTGATTGCTTGCTTATGTTTACTATCCGGTGGATGAAAAATCCCACCACGGTCGCGGGGTCACCGTGACTTCAGCAGGCCTACAGTACACGTCATAGAATGAACACGCGTACACGAGATGGTCGGTGTCTTCACTTCTCTCTCTCCCCCCCCCCCTCTTCTTCAAGCAAATTGAAAAAGAGACCTACTTCCCTACTTCTGGTCATTTTTTTAGTTCGGTCATTTTTTTTTAAGTTCGGATATCAGGCATGCTAGACAGCCAGCTGTATAAAAAAATATTTTTTAAACTAGATCTACGTCTAGCTTAAAAAATAAATAAATAAACGCTTAAAATGCCCGTAAACAGATTATTTAGCGCCAAAAAAAAGGCAGCTGAACGAGCATTTTTTACAATACGCAGCAATGAAAAGGGCTAACGGCCAATCAATTAAGTATAAAAATCGCCCGTAATTAGGCCTAGCTCTGAAAAAGGCCACTGAACGAGCATCACTGATTATATAAACGAATAGGCCACGCGGCGTTGACGAGGTCAACCACCGGTCACGAATGCAGCAACGGTCGGCCCACAGTGAAGAAAAAATCAATATACTAATAAAATTACTAATACAATAATAATGTCTATAATTTTACTTTTTCCACACATGCTACAATTGATTTATAATTAAAATACTAGACTTAACAGTTCATTCCGTAAAAAACAAAAACTAGTTGTTTCAGTCTGGCAACTAGCGTAACAATGACGTCATGATACTTAAAATAGCGGATAGAAATGTCAGCGTGGGTACCTCATCCTCGAGGAAGATTTTAGAAAAAGTAATCAAAAATACTGTAAATATACATGATAAATATATCAATTATATATTAATGTACAGTTAGTCGAGCCGTTTTCCCCGTTAGTCGGTCGTTTTTGGCGGCGGTTCAGTTTTTACGGAGAGTGCTCCACTAGAAATCCTCTCATTATTTACAACCACGAATCTTGCGGTTTTTTCTGGCATTCTAAGGCATATTATCCATTTTATTAGCAATTTGCATTAAAATAATGATGAGAATTTGCGATATAAACAGTTTTTTCATTTGTCGTGGATGGGACCCCTAAAATAAACGGAAAAAACCGTCAGAAAACGATGCGTGACGTTTCAGGGTCAGAGGTCAATCCTGCCATCTAAGCAATGCGCCAGACTAAAATCTAGAGATCTAGTTTAGGTAGGGGTTCTTAAAACCAGGCCAATAGGCCTGCCTACTCACTACTAAGAAATTTTAGATCTAGAATCTAGATCTAGAGTTCTTTTTACTTTAATAAATCAATAACTGGTGCTTTTTTGTGTTTTGGTTGGTTGACAACACACGGTCGTAACACAATGCATAACCTCTGCATTTTCGTAGTTGAAAAGGACAGAAAAAGTAATTTTTCTAGGGGGGGGGATTGGGGTTATTTTGCTGTTGTTTTTTTTAATTGTCCACAAATGACCCCTAAAGTATCCTAAACAAAGTAGGTAATCTATCGTTTTAGCGTAATCAATTCGGCTGCAATAGTAATGTGCGGGAGAGGTAGCTGATGAATATATTTGTTTAAATAAGTTTATTTAAGTCAAATTTTACAAAATATCACAGATAATTGATTTAAAATAACAAACAGTGACCAAAACAATTTAAATAACATGAAACTAACTTTAAACTAGGTGTTTGAGATAAATAATTAAATATTAGTAGAAAAAAAAACAGCGGCCATCTTTCCAAATAAAATTTAGAGTAGTTTCCCTGGATAAAAATGTCTATTCGTATGTATATTGTGTTGACTTTGTTGTTTAATACACATACCTGTCTTGTTTAATATAAGTAAGACAGAGGGCCGTCTTCTTATCTTTAATTTCATTTTCAAGTGAAATGAAGGCTATGTATGTATGTACATCCAAGATCTCAAAAAATTTTGGGAGGGTTGTAGGCTGATGTGTGACGTCATTTTAGGGGGGGGGGGGGGTCTGACTTTTTGTGACGACGTGTGACGGAGGGGAGGGGGGAGGTAAAAATCGTATTAAAAAAGCGTGACGTCATTTATGGATGACCCCTTAACTTGTCAATTATTAGGTCGTCCATATTCCTCATAAATGACGTTGGACTCAAAATATGGGACGGTGTAAAATATTTTTTTCAAAAATGATGAAGAATATATTCGTTTTCTTTAAAAATTGTGATTAAGGGTTCGGGTATAGTAGAACTGCGATATGATATTAAATCATCATCTTGCTTTTAGTAACTATTGGGTGAGAGGGAAATTGTCGAGAAAAGTATGACGTCATTTATGGGCGATCCATTTAATTAAGCCTAGTTGTTTATTTTTTTAGACATTAGTCTTAGGCCTACACTTCTTCTGAATTAAGATTATTGTGTTTTTTAAAATAGGTTCAAATTTTAATTAGTTACAATTGAATACCACATGGTTTTTTTTTTCTTTGCCTTCTGCTGTCATCAGTTTTTTATTTCTTCAGTAGTCAATGTTTACCCCTCCCCACCATCCATTATTACCACACAAAAAAACACCCACTATATGTGTCATAGCGTAGATATATAGAATTAGACTAGACGAGTAGAGGTTACTAAGGACGGTACGAACTTGACGGTAGACGATTTGGTGCGAGAGTATTGTGCGCGTGTTCAATAAAATATGTGTGGCGTGAGTGTGACGTGAGCATGGTGCGACAATGTACCGATGACGTAAGACGCAGCAGTGAAGTTAGTTGGGGGTTAGATATAGTAGAAGACGGATGTATTATTTGATATTGTGAAAATGATCTATAAGTGTGTGTTAATTAAGTTCATGTTATTTCATAAACTAAGTTGTTGACATTGTTAATTAGTGTCTGCGGAACATAAGAGTGATTCCCGTCCTCCTCACGAGTATAATAGTTGCCGTATGAATAGTAGTAGATCAGAATATATTGAGATTATATATAAATCGCCCATCACAATATAGTGATATCCCACTCTAGAAAAAAAAACTAGATCAACGTATAGTTCGTAGGAAAATTAGAATCTATCACTTATTCGTCTGTTAAAAAAAAAAAAGAAATACGTCATTTTTCTCATCCACGCCGTTTCATCCCCCACTAAGCACAACGTCACAAAGTTCGCGGCGCGCGTGACGTCATTTGTCATTAGGCTAATGTTTAAGAAAGATACCGCGTAATTAAAAGAAAATCAAAACAGGCCCTAAATCACTATGGCGATGAGACTTTAACGACGTTTAGCCTGACGAATAGATCTAAATAACTTTAGTTCGGTGAATTATATTGGTGTTTAATTTATTACAGTGGCATGATGTTCTCCCTCTACTATACAAATTCACGTGCTTTTAATTTCTGCAACCTGCTGCCCTGAGACGTTCGGCTCTAAAATGCCCGTGACACAGCGGCTTCGGTAAATGCATTTAGGCCCCCGGTCCCACCTATAAACGTCTGTCCATTAAGCTCCACGCAAAACGTGTGATTAATATGTGGACATAAGCGGCGCTAGTGGTGGTGTCAACAGGGGCCAAGCTCAGGTCTTAAAGGTGCTCCGCACTTCATAAAAGACAAAATTGATGTTCAGATATCGTCGGACTCTGGCGTTTTGCCGACGGCCGTACTCCTAATGCACAGTCTTAGAGGCTGTCCACTGCTAACACTATTTTATGTTAAATTCAAGCCTGTACTATGAGCTGTGGCTTTACATTAGCTCAGTGGCGTAGCGAGGTCGAGTGTCACCCGGTGCGGCACTTAATGGTGTCACCCCCCAGAGGCGACAAACATTCAATTTTCGATTTGTCCCATTTTACCTGCTAGTCAATAACTGTCGAATATTGTTGACAGGAGCTACTTGGTTTGAGCCTTGTTGTCAGAAGTTATTTCATTTGGAGTCAATATAGTGCGGCCTATTTTCTTCGGTAGGCATTTAGTGGCAGGCCCTTTTTGGCGGGGATGATGTGCTGAGGTTGTTTAACACCGCTTAGTACAACAGGCATGCAATAGTTATGAACAAATGTATGCATGAAAA